CCTATTGCTCTGAAAAGTATTCCATGCGAAAGAGCACACTCAAAAACCTATTTTTACTGAGTTTTAAGTTGATTGGATGCATTTAAACCCAAATGTCCGCCTGCCTAGCCAAAATTGCCCACTGTGGAACGCTGACCGAAGGAAGGCGTTAGCATTGTCTTGGATTCTGAAATATTTTTCGACTCCAGTCTCGAAAAAAGTCACTAGTGAGTTTTTTGTCCTATAGAAACCGTGTAACGTACTCAACATTTTTGAGTCAACAAGTCTGTTCACAAAAAAAACACTCATACGTTTCGGCACGCAGAAAAAACAAATGATTACATAATTTTTTGCTAGACCCTCCCTCTCCCATGTAAATAAAAGCAATCTTGCGGACTTCCCTATTGTTCGGTATGTTTAGACAATTAATGGTCCATTTACGAGCATTTTTCAGTGCTTTTATCGCCATGCGGTAATTGCTCAAGAATGATGTAAAAATCACATAATAATTGGACAACCAGTTACACATAAATGATGTTAACTTAAAGTCATATAAATGACCGTAAAATGGTCATTATAAAATGACCATTCTATGACCATTTTTTTCTACTAGATCATTAATGGCAGATTTTTATATAATTTTTGCTAACGATAACAAAATGAGTCATAAATGAGATTTCTAGCTCATTTTTATACCATTAATTGGCCATCAACTGATCATTCTTATGCCATACCATTAATTGACCATTAATGGCTCGTTAATGTCTCATTTTCATTCACCTGGGGACTAATTTAACGATTCCGTTTTATTTAGCGTAACAGTAAGAAACTCAATGTTTAACGATGAAACATTTGTTTCATAATGACTTTGAAGTCGTTATGCTCTGAAGAGTGCTCTGTCTTTAGTTGTCGATATACTGAGAAAAGGAATTCAGAAAATCTAAAACTGGTTAATCAGAATGTAATACCGAGATGTCTTTACTGATCTTTATTATCTCAGTTCGTAATAGCTCAGTGGATAAGAGCAAGGCATGGCATGCCGTAGGCCCTATAGGTTCGAATCCCAGACGGATCGTATGATTTTTTTCAAATTTTTTTTGCACAATTCAGATACACTACTAATGTAGTTTAACCCTTTGACACCCGAATTTTTCCTACTGAACCAAATTTGATGAAATTTGGTATAAACTAACTTGGTGACATTAGGAAGCATGTGGTTAAATTACAATTAAAGAAAGCACGTGATCACTAGGTATGCACCAGTTAAAAACTGGTGTTGGGACATCCGGGATAATTGGTATACATCAGTTATCACGATTCGCTCAGAGCTGTGAAACATCTCATTTTGTAGAAAAATGTTTGCTCTACCAAATGCATTTGTTAAAAAGATTCCAAACGTATTCCTGACAAAACTTAGAGCATTCGAAAATACATTAAATCACGTAAAAATAACTGGTAGGCATGCAACAGTTTTTTAACAGTTTTTTTCGTGTTTTTCCAAAAATGGTTTGTATTTTCGCAACAGCGAAATGTGAAATTTTCTGAAATCAGCAGTTTTGTAGAGCAAACATTTCTCTGCAAGACGGCATATAGTAGATTTTTTTAAAGTTGCTTGGGTTCTTTAAAAAACGTTTTTGATAGAATGACCCAGCAGTTCAAAACTGCGGTTAAAACTTTTTTAGACTAAAGAAACTTGGCATGGTGCATTTTTCAACGTCCTCCATATACCCTATTATCCGTGCAATCTTGTACGGACCTCTGTTACCTTCTAACATTTATTGAAAATATTTCTCTAAGGTTCGCAAAAACTCGAAGATTTGAAAATTCTCGAGGTGGGAAGTATGCTTCCCACTGGGTGTCAAAGGGTTAACTTCTTGAGCATTTTTCAGATCGCTTTACAAAACAAGAATTCCATAAGAAAGTGATTAGAAGTTCATAAGACCTCTTATCATTTTTTAATGAAATTCTTATGACATTCTTATCAGATTCTTATAAGACTCTTATCAAACTCCATTCACTTTCCTGCGTAATCTTGTATAAGAATTTGATAAGAATCAGCTAAGATTCTTACGTGAATCTTATTGGGTACTTATAAGTTTCTTAACTAATGCTTATATAAGAATCGACGCCTAGGAACTTCTCTATACAACTAGCTAAGTATTTCCGCTGTCTTTATAAGACACTTTTTGAAATTTTCGTCCGTTTTTTCTTATTTCGTAGTTTTTGGTCCGAAAAACTTGCTGTTTAACAAGGTGTTAGATCAAACATTTTTCTACACGTTCATGTAAAAAGTTGATTAAATGATAATGTGCTCAATATTATATGGTCCATGGAGGTTTTGGTTTATGTTGAAATGTTTGCTGATTTTATTAAAACCAACCCTGATCCTATAGATCTTTTAGTTATTGAGAAAAAATTATTTTTAGTTATTAATTTTAAGAGATTGGATGGTTGGTGATCTCACTGAGTGCCTTACGCAAACTGCTTCGTATTTTTTTTCCTAAGCGGTTCTGAACATTTCGGGCATCATATTCATCTTCGCCAGAGTCAGTTCTCTTCAGAATATGAAAACACAGGATGGCAGATTTCACTACTTATCCCGCGGGGTACTTTGAATATGATCAAAAGCGGCGCGGATATATACGGAAGCCACTATGCATTTTCACCGGGATGAAAACTATCACTGTCCTTCTAATTGTATCAAATTTATGAGTCATTCTTTAGGAAACTGGTAAAAATAATAAAATTTGATAAATATCCTCGAACCTGACCTGACTTAATGGTCTCATACTGGAAGCGTGGCATTAGCAAGCTCATATGCTGAATAAAATGTAAAACTTTGAGTTCTTTGAAAATAGTATAGAAATGCAGCCGACTGTCTAAGAAGAGTCTATTAGTTGAACACCCAGTCAGTCATAGTCATTCGAGAAAAGCGCAGGAAACTGTTTACGAAAAATGTTACGCGTTTAGCGAGTTTCGAATAATAACGCGCAAGCTGCGAGTGTGTAAAAATAAAACGCAGGAAACGCACGTTGCCATGGAAATAAAGGCTTTACACGCGTGTTGCTTTCCTTGTTTCGTAAACAGAGTTTCCTGCGCATTTCTGGAATGACTATGACTGACTGGGCGTTCAGAAACTGTTAACCGCCAGTTAACATACAGTAGGATGCTGATTTTATCGAATTATGAATCTTACCTAGCTCCATAATTTGAACCTTTTGTACATCGAATCTGTCTTTCTTCATTTACCATCGAAGGTACGAAGAGAGAAGGTATAATTCTTTTGTTTCTTTCGATGTGAAGTGAATACTTGGTATATGTTGTAGGTTTATATTGTTCTCTGGTATTAACGTGTAAATGTGGCCATATGATCGGAATTGGTACGTCGAAACGTTGTCCACAAACACAAATGCGAGATGTGAATATTCGATGTGTAATTGGTAGGCGGTTTTGTTGCTAACGACAATGATCGAAAACTTTCCTTTATTTAGGAGCCAATCTCGCTGGTATCGCCCACCAAGGTCGAGCAAAATTATTCGGAATTTTAAACGTACCACCTCCCCTCGATGACGACCATTATTCACACACCGTCGCTCATGTCCTGCCTAGTCTTCGAGCTCATCAACAAAACTCTATGTCGACAGCCGTTGAAGAAGCTTGCACTCAATCAGGCGGTCAACAGTTGAGTGTAAGTGGAGACGAAAGCTGGCAGTGTCGTGGATTTTCAAGTTTGAATGGCGTAGCCGCAGTCATGTCCAGCTCAACAACCGCCAAAGTAAGGTATACAAAAAAGTACCTCCTCTTTGATTTTTTGTATGTTTAGGTGTTGGATATCGAACGAATGTCGAAGAAGTGTTCGACGTGTGTTGGCGCCCTCAGTATTAAACATATGAACAGAGAAAAGTATGAAGAGATTATTAACAAACATAGTTGTGAAATGAACCACACAAATCATCTGGTAAATGTTGCATTCTTTCACATTTGTCTCACATATTTTTTGGATCTTTTAGGTGCAATGGAGGTGGACGGAATCTATCGCCTGTTTGAACGTTTCCAACGTCTATATAATGTTCAGCATATCAAGTAAGCATCTGCAAGCGAAAACTTTCTCCGAAATTCGGAGTAAATCGTTCTTACCTTTTCTCAATTACGAGTAAACCGTTCTTGATTTTGTTCAAAATCGGAGTAAATCACTTTCCGAGTTTCTTCGAAATGAGAGTAAATCGTTCTTATCTTTCCCAAATTTGGCAGCAAATCGTTCATATTTTTTTCACAAATTGGAAGTAAATTTGACCAAATTTTTTAAAAAAGTATGGGGGAGTAACAGACGGGAGCCCTGAGCGTTCTTCTAAATTTAGAAACAGTTTTAGACCGCTAGAGACTTTTCCTTTGTATATTTACATTACTTCACGAGCTCTATACATGAAAAGAGGAAAAAATTCTGAAGATGACTTACGAGGGAAGTACCCCAACTGATAAATCGTTTTTTCAACGAAACCGAGTGGACTATAGGTAGCCGACGATGCTGATTCCGAATATCACCATGAATGTTGCTGCTAGGCCTTCAAAGACCGGTCTTCTGAAAAACCAGTTTTCGAGAAACTATAAACA